TTGTTAGAGACTGTCTTTTTTCCATTGGATATTCTTTCCTGCTTTGTCAAAGATTAGTTGGCCATACTTTTGTGGGTCTAGTTCTGGGGTTTCTATTCTATTCCATTGGTCTATGTTCTATTTTTGTGTCAATACCATGCTGTCTTGATGATTACAGCTTTGTAGTAGAGGCTAAAGTCTGGGATTGTGATGCCTCCTGCTTTGGTCTTCTTCAAAATTACTTTGGCTATTCAGGGCCTTTTCTGGTTCCATACAAATTTTAGGATTGCTTGTTCTAGCTTCGAGAAGAATGCTGGTGCAATTTTGATTGGGATTGCACTGAATGTGTAGATAGCTTCGGGTACTATTGACAAAAATGTCACCTAAATCTAACTACATCTGTTTCCTTAATTCTTTCTCTCTGGTACAACAGACTTTGTGGTCATGTCAAAAGAGCTTAGGAACCAATATGAAGAAGCACCCGGTGTCCAAAGATGGTAAAAGGTGAGCATCACTAAAGATTAGTGCAATGGATTGAAACACAAATAAAAGGCATGAATTCATAATCATACTTAAAAAAAAATCATAGAATTCATTGGTCAATTGGGAAGATGTTACGGAACTAATTTATTATTTTGAAAACTGGGAAAGAAACATTTATCCTGCCTTTCCTGTAGGAAATGTAAGAGTTTCTCTTTATGGATAAATTCAGTAATGAAGAATGAATAATAGTATTAAAATAAAACAATTTTGCAAACCCCTAATGAAATCTTGAAACTAGGCTAGAGTTTCTCAATCTCCGCACTACTGACATCTTCGGCTTCATAATTCTTGTTGTAGAGGCCTGTCCTGTGTAATATAGGATGTCTGGAGCATCTCTGGCCTCTATCCACTGCATTCCAGTAGTATCCCCTCCCCAAATTGTGACAACTTGTCTCCAAACCTTGGCAAATTGAACTTAGCTGAGAATTACTGATGTAGGCAATGATCAATGACCACTAACATTACTAAAATAAATAAATAAATAAATAAATAAATAAATAAATAAATAAATAAATAAATAAATAAATACAAATGACCAAAACATACAACATCAAAAGTTTAATCAGAATCAGATTAAGCATCTAAATCTAACTACTAGGTTTCAGAAATACAGGGAACAGATGAATATGGTCAATGACACTATGGGGTTAAAAATCAACAAAATCAAAATGTAAGGAACGCTACAGGACAAATAACCCAGTTTCTTCAGTAAGTCCTCAGGAGAGGAATTGAGCGGGAGTGGGTATTATCTACAGATGGAAAGAGAACTAAGAGACACAATAACCATACTGTACATAGACCTTGATTGAATCATCACTGAAACCAATGGGGAGCAAAACAAAACAAAAGAAACTGGGGAACTTGTCAGCTTTTTAGTTGTAATGATAGTATAGCAGTTATATTTACGTTTAAATAAGATGACCTGACAAGCTGGACAACTGGTACATGAGGGTTAATTATCCTTACAATTGTATATGTGAAAATTTTAAAGCAAGTTAACCTGTGCTCCAGGACCAAATTATCATCATCATTATCCTCCTCCTCCTCCACCTTCATTTCAAGAAATATAAACTATGTTTTCTCACATTCTGAGGTGGGAGAAAGACAAGAACACACTAACCCACTTACTCATAAACATATTGTAATGATCTGAGTTATGTCCCCCTCAACATTCATATGTTGAAGTTCTAACCCCCAGGACCTCCGAATGGAACCTTGTTTGGAATGAGAGTCAGTGAAGATGAAATTAGTTAAGATGAGGCCATCCTGGAGCAGGGAAGATCCTAATTCAGTATGAGTGGTATCCTGATAAAAAGGGAAAATCTGGACACAGATCTGCATAAAAGGAAAATGCAAACATAAAAGCAGGGATCGGGTGATATGCCTATAAGCCAAGGATCGCCAAAGATTGTTATTAGCAAACCACCAAAAGCCAGGAGAGTGGCAGAATGGAAGAGAAGTTTCTCAGAGCCTTCAGAAGAAACCAAGCCTGGGGCGCCTGGGTGGCGCAGTCGGTTAAGCGTCCGACTTCAGCCAGGTCACGATCTCGCGGTCCGTGAGTTCGAGCCCCGCGTCGGGCTCTGGGCTGATGGCTCAGAGCCTGGAGCCTGTTTCCGATTCTGTGTCTCCCTCTCTCTCTGCCCCTCCCCTGTTCATGCTCTGTCTCTCTCTGTCCCAAAAATAAATAAACGTTGAAAAAAAAAAAAAAAAA